CACACTGCTATGGCCGAAGAACAGCATCTCAGTAGCTAAGACCTGCTCCACCAGATCGCCACAGGAACCCGCGTCCAGCTTTCAGAAGGAACAATCTTTCATCACAGGTAATTTCCTCCTGCTCGCTTCTCCCGCCCAGTCGCTGTGATGAGCAGCAGAAGTCAAGACACTGATGCCCACAGCTTGTGGGAGAGAGCTCCCTCCTGCCTAACTTCTGCTTTACTAGTATTAATACGTGTATATAACCAGCATTTAAAGGACGTGGGAGCATACTTCACATTCCTTCGTAGGGTCTCCAAGTGATTTTTTTTAGGAAGAGCAAGGACTCCGTGGCCAGTTTGATAGAGCTGACACAGTACCCAGGGGGTCTCTTTTCAGACATCTGTTAACAATAAAAATCTTCCTTCCTTTGCTGTATTAAACTATACTCCCTGCAAGTATCATTTCCCGCTTTTTAAGTGTTTTTGTCAGGAATTTCTCTTATGTACCAAAAATGTACGTGAAAAGAGTTCAGCAGCTAGATAAAGCTTTGGGGAAGTCTGAATATTCCCAACAGTTGGGTATTCCAACATATTTAATCCTTCTTTTAATGCACAAAGCTATTAAGTGATTCTGTTCAGCCCACCTCCGCGCACCAGAAAGTTTAAAGAAAGCAAACCTTGGCTCCTTTAACTCCTTAGACCAGCAAGACTGTGCCAAAGTAGATGTTTGGACTGCTTGTCTCAGACCTCGATCCTGTAAAGAGAATGCAGCTCCTTAAAATCTACAGCGTTAGGCAAGGCTCTTGACATCAGCTATAAACAATTTCTGAAGTGGGTGTGCTGGGCTATAAATCCCAAATGTCAGATAAATCAGTGTGTGAAGAAAAGACAAAACACCATCGTGGTCATGCAATGGGTGGAATACATTTTAACAGAAGACCTGCAGTGGCTCAGCCTTTCCATTAAAGCCGGAAGGATGAGCCACCTCACCCAAAACACACGATGTGCTCCAGAAAACCCTCCCTGCAGATGGAGTGAGACAACCAAAATCCCTGCACGCAGAGCACAGAGAGCTGAGCCTGGAAAAGACAGCCCAAGAGCCGAATGCTCATAATTGGATGCACCATAGTGGGAAAGTATTTGTTAAAATAAAAAAAAGTAGCCAGAGAGAAAAATCATATTGTTCTTCTCAAGGACTATAGAATGGGTAGAGTTGGAAGGGACCTTAAAAACCATCTAGTTCCAACCCCCCTGCCATGGGCAGGAACACCATGTCTACCTCGTCTCTGAGGCATCCGATGTGGTAGTGACGCTGGCTGCCGTGACGATGCTCAAGAAGTTGAAGCAGGACAGGCAATGATGAGCGCTTCTTGCACGGGAGCGCTGGGCACTGTGGCACACGCAGCATACACCCGCCATCGCTATCTTGGATCAACGCTCAGCCCCCAGCAAGGGTTTAGCGCTCTACCACGTTGGGCAATGCTACACCGCTGCATTGCTCCCACCCCAAGGGCAGCTGCAACCAGAGGTGCCGCCAGCAAGGGTGGCCCAAGGCAGCCAAAATCCTGGCAAGGCAGCTGCCACCCCCTGTGCGTCATGGAATTGTGACAGGGAGCAGCTGGAACTGCCAAACCCATGACAAGGTGTAAAAATCTGGTCATTTTGATACTTATGGGCTTCCTTGGGCATACAGGCTCTGAAGCAAGGAGACATTCTGCAGCTGTGTAGTCCTGTTTCACCACTATGTTTTAGTCCAGTTAGGCAACATCTGGCAAGGGTGAACTCTAAGAGCTGCGAGCTTTTGGGCTCTGAAAATCTCCAATAGGAACTCAAGGAGAATTAGAGCGAGCACTGGGCTTAAATAAGGGCCAGAACATGGCAACACTGCTGGGATTACAACCAGAAATAAAGCCTGCGTAGAATAAAAAGGACACCAGTGCAAGCAATCCATCTTCTTCAGTCTGAGCTACAAAACCCCAGCCAGAGGCAAGACCATTCCTGGCAGACACAGAGAAGCTCACTCACGCTGCACATAGACCATCAGAACCCCGTCTCCTTCACAGGGACGCACAAAGTTCTGGAGCAACGGATATTCATAACTGTGCTGCGGCAGGAGGCAAGAGAAGCCATGGAGATCCCAGCAGTGGGACACCCCTCCAAAGCAAGATCCTCCAAGGAGCAGTCCCAGCTGTGCCAGGAATACAGAAAACAAGGATTCACCCACCAAAACCTTCGGCGTGGCCCCAAACGTGAGTACCCGGATGGGGTGAGCAGCACACGTTTCCATGTTTCTCTGGGGCTCCCAGGACAAGGCCCTTGGCTAAGTGCCGTCACCGCTGCTCTCAGGGTGAAAACCAGCTTTTGAACCCTAGTAACATCCCAGCAAAGCCTGTCTAACTAAATAAATGATGTTGTTTACAGCTGGAAGATGGTCTCCATTACACAACGTGGCCACCCCAGCCAAGCTTCCAGGGAGAAGCTGTTCTTTGGGGGGTTGTTGCTTGCAAAAAGGAAGAAGAAAACAGAACTAGCTGAAGCCAACACAGCGATTTAGCAGCATGGGAAACCTAATCTGCTTCTGCTGAGAATGCAATAGATCGGCAAATTTCTCTAATTCACGCTTACTGTTGGGCATATCATATATTTGGGGCTTTAGCCACTGTCTGGACAGAGCTGGCAGAGCAGGGGAGAGAAAGGAAACCCAAACCTGTGAAACATTAAAAAGAAAAAAGCTGAGACAGACCACGAAATTAAGAGCAGTGAAATGCACCCAAAGGGAGGGGGTAGGAGAAGGTGCTTCGAACACATCAAACCCATGAGAACAGCGGGAGAGAGAAGTGAGGTGGAGAACAAAAATGAAAAAAGTGAGAAAAACTGAGAGCAGCAGCTGTGTCGCCCTGCTGAGCCATCAGCTGCAAGGCCCACGTCTCGTCCTCTTGGCATGGTTAGCAGAATAATCAGCCCTCAGATCACTGATCCCTGGCTGCTGGGTGCCTTCTCTTCTCCCAAGCAACAGGCAATAGGACAAGAGGAAACAGCCTCAAGTTGCGCCAGGGGAGGTTTAGGATGGATATTAGGGAAAATTTCTTCCCCGAAAGGGTTGTCCAGCACTGGCACAGGCTGCCCAGGGATGTGGTGGAGTCGCCATCCCTGGAGGTATTTAAAAGGTCGGTAGACATGGTGCTGAGGGACATGGGTTAGTGATAACTTATCAGGTTAACGGTTGGACTTGGTGATCTTAAAGGTATCTTCCAACCAAAATGATTCTATGATTCTATGATCCACCGGCCCCCTGACTGCACTTTTCCTTTGCACTCTGAATATAGGATGAAAACCAGGGAGGGGCTGAAGGACGTGGGCTTTTCGGGACCCAAGCCCATCTCCAGCTGCTCAGGGACACCTTCAGACCTGCTGGAGCCAGGCAGTGCCCTGGGAAGGGCGGCGTGCTCTTGGGGTGCTCTGCGTTCCGCCTACAGGGATCATCTTTTTCCACTCAAGAGAGGGCTCAGGGCTTATCCTAAGAAGAGGCTCCACCAGGACACAGCACTCCCCCGCACATTCCCGGTGGCAGGGAGCGTCAGGCTCCCACAGCTCCTGCCTGTCT